GACTATCGTAGAACAGAGACGAGATGCCTGAGAACATCCATGCCCTCCACCGGAAGTTAGAGAAATCTAACAACTCGAGAGAAAGAAGGAAAACAAATCTCTTTCAAGATTTAATTTATATTTGTAGTATTAGTTGTATCAGTTAAAAAGATATTATTCAAACTTGTATGGATTAAAAATAGATGATGGAGAACTTTTAGCTACAGAAGTATCGGGATGAACTTATAATAGTCACCCAGTATTATCTCATTTTTCCCTCCAGAAGACAATCTGGGGCTTTACAATTTTAAATAACTTATCTGCAAGAAAGTCTAGAGCTCTAAGTCCATTTGCAGACAGGGTGTGGGAAATAGACCTTTATTGTTTGAGAGCATGACAGGTCAAGCCATATATGTTTGAACATTTAAAATACCTTGCTCCTTTAAGTGGGTCAAGGATCTGCAGATTGACACCAGCCAGGAGCTTGCTACAGACCTATTAAATCAATTTACATTTAGCAAGCTCCTTACATAATTTGTGTGCTCCTTAAAGCCTAGAGTTCAAACCAAGGGTTTCTCTCTGTGTGAACTTTGTCAGATTACTTAACCTCTCTGAGCCTCATTTATAAACTATCTATAAACTCATTTGTAAACTAGTGAGAATTAATGTTAATGCATGCACCTTGCAGGTGCTCTATAATGACAATGATGGTAATGATGATTTCAGCATTGCCGGTTACTCACTTCCTAGCACAAGTAGTAATCATGTTTAAATCAAAATGACTGTTTTTCCCCCTTAGTCACAAACATTTGTATCTCCCACCCTTGTTCCTAAATGAATTAATATCAAATGAGGGGGGGGGGGGTTAAGCTTCAGATGGCCAGCACTCATATATGAAGAAAGAATACTTGGGAAACCTGGGAACATAGATTTTTGCTGGCTTAGAGGCTGGATTCAGTTGCTCGATGACTTCACAGCTGTTCCTCCCGCCCTAAAAGTGTCTATCCCTTCGGCTCTGTCCCCTCAGCTGGGTCTGCAACGCTGACTCTGGGATTTTCTTGTGAAAATGCCTGCTGGGCGGGAGGAAGATCTGGAGGTTGGCTGGGGAAAAAATGAGTAATGCAAAGCAGTGCACTCAGTAAATGCTGCAAGAGAAATAAAAGTAAAAGCTGCCTCCTGTCTCTAGGGACTCTAGAATGATTCTGACTTATCATGTCACTGAGCAGAGCTGGGGGAAACCAAAACTCGGAATCTGCTGGCAAGGAAAAGAACGAAGAAAAAAAAAAAAAAATGGTAGGGAGGGGCAATCCGGCGGGGGAGGAAATGAAAAGAGAGAGAGGGAAAGACAAGCGTCATTTAGGAAGAGGTAGAGTAAAAGAAAGAGCTCCAGGATCTAAAACCTACCATATAGTATTTTGTATCTTTTTTTTTCCCCAGAGGAGATCCCTGTCCTGTCACTTTATTGACAGACGTGCTGTTACAAGGCTGTCTTCCCAGAGGTCGCAGAAGAAACTCAGACGCTGCTGTTCCTTCCCTCCCAAGTCCAGTGGTCTCCCTGGTAATGGATTGCTTCTCTCTGAGGTACGGGTCAGTGTAAGTCTTTGGGGGATGGAGCTTCATTTTCAGGTTAGCTGAAGTCTCAGCTTTGGGGTGAAGATTTTTTTTCTTTCAGACGGAATCTCAAATATCCTTTTACTGGCCTAGCCAGTATTTAAGGTATCATTGAACAGCAGTGATTAATTTGGTGATTAAAAATCCCATGAAAATAGGCAGCTCTAACTTTTAGTTCATTGCACAAGGAGTGATATTTTTGACCTCCCAGAGCAAGGAAGAAACTGTGAGGTTTGATTTGGTGTTGAATTAGTTTTCAGTGGGTGCTTAATATGATCAAAGTATCCATCTCACTGAAATCATCTCCAGTATCTTCCTTTAAATGCTTTCAGTAACTATAACTGCTCAACCCTTTAGCTGCTGGATCACTTCTCAGTGGTAAAGGAGAATGACTTACCATGTCTGAGCAAGAGAAGAGTGTTCACTGATTTCTCATAGATGGCGTTTCAACCAGAGGCTTTTGATTGAGAGTCTCAGATTTCACCCTGAATTGTTCAGATTCAAAATATTTAGAAAGATACAGCGCAGCCCAGCAAGTTTTTGTACACAGCAGCGTGGGGTAAAAATGAACTTGTAAATCTTTATGCTTATCTAGTATGCTTATTTTTTTAAAACATGTGGTACATTTAATATCAAAATTCCTTGTTGAGTTTAATGGAAAATTTGTGAATTGACAGCTAATTATCGTAATAATTGTTCTTCTCTTTAACATAAAAAAGCACAAAATTTTGTCCAAAAAATTGTTGAATTATTTTTCCCTTTTCAAATGGATCAGAGGATATTGCTGCATTTTAGCTCACAAATCCAGCCTTATTGTCCCTGAATTTTTGCCCAACTGCACCCCCATCATGGACCCAGGATGCATGTTTCGCTGTATTTAACAGTTACAACAATAAAGACTTGTTAACTGTCAGTTGATGTAGAAGAACATCATTTGTACACTGATTGCTGGTCTTGACGTTGCTTTGGTGCACAGAGAATGGGCAATAGTTTGGAAAGAGT